GGTACAAGAGCGCTTCCTGTGCACAGTATGCACTCAAGACATACTTTCAAATGAAATGATTTGATCTTTAAATAACCTTTTGGGACTTTGGAGATTTTTCGGTATTTGCAGTTTACTAAGTAACTCTGCAAAATACTTTATATTTAACAAAACTTTTTTGCATGCATAATTTCATTTAGTTTAAAAACACTAAAATATAATTTCCCTACCCAGTGAAAAATAAGATGGCCATTGTTAGAGTATTTCTGTTGCTCAGTCTCTTCAATGAGTGAGACACACTTTGAAATTAAGAATGGCTGGGCTGGAGAAATGGCTCAGCCGTTAAGAACACTGGTTGTTCTTGCAGAAGACCCAAGTTCAAATCCCAGTACCCACATGGCAGCTAACAACTGTCCATAACTCCAGTCCCAGGGGATCCAACAGCCTCTCCTCCACGGGCATTGCATGACATGGGTGCACTGACCTACATGGAGGCAACACATGCATACACATAAAATAAAATAAAAAAATTTTAATTAAAAAAAAAAGAGTTTATCTTAGGGAGCTGAAAAGATGGCTCAACAGTTAAGATCACTTGCTGCTCTTCTAGAGGACCAGAGTTCAGATCCCAGCATCCACATCAGGTGGTTCACAACAGCCTATAACTCTACCTCTTCTGGCCTCTGAGGGCACCTACCCACAGACACATAAATAAAAATAAAATAATTTATCTCAGATACATAGTGAAAATGTATCTCAAAAGGAAAATAAAAACAAACAACAAACAAGAATTTTATCTCAAGAGCTAGACATATGACTTATGCTTGTAATGTAAGAGGATTGCTGTGAGTTCTAGGATAGCCTATCCACAGAGTGAAGCCTTATCTCAAAAAACAAACAGGGTTTGGAGAGATGGATCAGAGGTTAAGAGCACTGGCTCTTCTTGCAGAGGACCCAGGTTGAGTTCCCAGCACCCACATGGCAATAAACAACCATCAGTAACTCCAGTTGCAGGGGATCCAGTGCCCTCTGACCTCCTCCAGCCTCTCTGGGCTTCACAGGCGTTGCTTGCACATGGTGCACCTACATACATGTAGGAAAACCACACATATACATAAAAAATTTTTATAATTAAAATAAAAAAACAAAATCAAGATGAAGATATAGGCTCAGCAGATAAAGGCACTTGCTGCCAAGCCAGACAGCCCTAGAACCCACATGGTAGGGGGAGAGAACTGACTTCCACATGTTGTCCTCTGACCTCCATATGTATACTGTGGCATGTGTGAGCCCACACACGTACATATCTACACACACAAAATAAATAAATGTTTAAATAACTGAAACAACAAAAAATAGTTTATCCCAAGTTTATCTTTAGATAGTTGTTGTGATAAGACTGTTCATAAACACCACTTATTCTGACTTCATAGCATTGCTGTAACCTGCCCAATAACATGGTAGTTTTTGCATATTTATGTGGTAGATATTATCCAACATTATTTCATATTTTAGAAGAATAAGTATGTGAGGAAGACACTAGTAAATGATAATAACAAGACAAACAACTGTATTGCATATTCATGACAGTGCCCATTATATGAAATGAAAACAATCGTGTCTTTGAAAATAATCTAAAATAAGATACATAATTGTTTATATATTTTTCAGTGGTAACATTGTGATCTCGTTTTCTTCTGTGCTTTCCAGATCTTTTTTCTTTTCTTTTTGTCTTCTTGAGGCACGGTCTCTCTATAGCCCCAGCTGGCCTGGAACTCACTATGTAGACCAGGTTGGCCTTGAACTCACAGAGATTTGCCTGCCTCTGCTTCCCAAGTGCTGAGACTAAAGGTGTGCTTTCCAGATCTTTTTTCAGTGTTTTTGAATAATTCCTTTTAAAATAAGGGAGAATAAATTACCAGAGAAGCAACAGTGAAATGGAGGCAGTAGAAACCCATTTGAGTGGCTAAGTCAGCTTTTTATCTACTTGTGTTCCCTCAGATTACTTGAGCTCTTTTTTTTTTTTTTTTTTCCTGATACAATAGGTTCTTGTTTGGTGTTTTCATTTAGCTTTAACCAAAATAAGGGAACTCTCCAGTTGTCTCTAATTTCTGGGTAGCACTTGGTAGTTGACTCTCTTTGTAGGGTTCTGAGTGCTCACTCACTATACCTAGGTGACTCCTTTTTCATTTCTGCTTTTGGGCTCCACAGTGAAGCTCACTGCTAGAAGCAATGATTATAACTCATCTGTTAAAAGATACCCTGTCTTCCTTGTGGGCCATTGAGTCACTGTTTTTCTGTGTAATTTTACTGTTCTGTGGTTTGAAAATAGCATTTTGGACCTGGTAATTATCATTTGGAAGCAAATGTAAAATGACCCCAGGAGCTTGGGAATTCCTGCAGTAGTCAGTCAAGTTCTTGAGAGCAGGAATTTTGCCCTTTTAGCTTATGCTTAGGTATAAGCAAGTATAAGGTTTGACACATAATACATGTATTATAAAATATTTGTTGACTGAATAATACATTTGCAATAAGGAAATTATCCTTTGAGAATAAACTGTAAAATCAGCATAACCAAAACAGA